TGTGTGGGGTGGGGGGGGGGCAGGGGGAATCAATAAGAGCAACTGTGTGACTGTTCTTCTGTTTTTAACCCAAGGGCTCTCCCTCTGTGTCCGTAACACCAGCCAAACTTTCTTAGTAGCACAAGCTTCTTATTCAGCTTTGTTTTGACAAAGAAAGATAAACCACTGTTTTGTTCTGCCCTTCCCCCACCATTTACTCATTAGTTTTATTTAGTTTTGTATTCCCTGCTCCTTGCAGGAAGAAAACATATTTTAAAAAAGTAATTATTTTTGACCATATTAAGTTGTTGACTCTGTATGTTCTTATGAAGAATTTAAAATAGAATGTAATTATAAATCACTGCTAAAATGAGCTTGTCCTGCAAAGGCAAGGACATTTAGTTGTGTCCTTGTATGACTGGAATCACTGTAAACAACTAATATTCCTGTTTGCAGAAATAACCAGCTCATTCAGCTGTACAGAAAGGAAGACATATAAGGAAACCAAAGACTAAACCAGAATAAGCCACTGGAAAGTTTTATGTCAACAAAACTGGATTTAAATTAAGTAACATCAATTCAGTATTTTGACTGTAAATGAATCAGAACATTAAAACATGTTTTAAAGGGAACATTTGTGATGAAACATCTATGACTAGTTCCTATACTAAATGAATAGGAAAGTTCCTACTTATTTCTTCTGTGCAGGATCAAATCCACACAGCAAAGTTATTTCTCTAGCTTTAGTACTACTTTGTAGACCTAAATTTTGAAAATTAGAATGGCAGCTGAACTGTAAGGAAAACACTGAATAAATGACTTATCAGTTATACACAATGGAAAATACAGAACTGATGACACAGTTGCATCATACTACATAGGCATGAAGGAGTAAAGTTAAAATTACACAGACAATTTCCATTCTTATGTTTTCCAATTTTCTGAGTGCATGACTCTGCAACTTAAATCTCTTTTACTATTGTTTTTTCTGCCACTGATTTGCAGAAATGTGAGCAGATTTTAACGTTCGTTACTCTGCCTTACTCAGTGGCAAAAGTTTAAAAAACAAACAAACAAACAAACAAACAAACCCCAAGCTCAAACCAAAGAAGTGCATTCCTAAGCGAATTGAAACGATGGGAGATGAGTCAAGAGTCACCTTGCTTTAAAATCAACTGAAACACAGTAGAGCTCTCCTCCAGTGAGAGGAAATAAGGAAATAAACTACACATTCAACAACTACAATACACCCTTTCCAAATAAGAACAGAGAATTCATTTACCCAGTAATTTTACAATGGTGGTGATAAATTAGAATTGTGGGCAGACAGCAGAGAACTAAGAAGACATACAATCCATAGCAAGGATCAGCCAAATTAAAGGGAACTTTTTACATTGTCAAATTTTGAGTAATTAGTACTTCCATTAGAGGCACAGTTCCAGCTTTAAGCAATTCTAAGTAATTAATGTTCTTTTATTTTGCCTAGAAGTCCTGACTTCAGCATTCTCTTAGGATACAAATTCTTCTAGCCAGACCTACACAATACAGATTAACTGAACTAGAAGACAATTAGAGTAGGCAGATGAAGATGTAATTTGTCAGTCTGTACACACTGTTACTTCTAGCCTTGGATGCAATTTTTATTAACACAGCAGAGTGATTTAAACGGAGGCAGAGGCACGATTTTGTCCTATCTGTATCTGTATGATTGCCTAAGCTACAAGCGATGCTGAGATTTGAAAAGTCTACATGACCAAATGACAAAACAGAGTGAATGAAGTGCCAGATTATATCTCCTGTACAGCTTTGGCCAGCTACAGGGATTCAATAATTGATTATACACTTAATAATTTAAAATACATGATGGAGGAAATTTGCTATACTTATTCATCACGCAATGTAAATCCCTAAATTAAAATGCCGAGCTGAGCAGGAAGCAGAAGCTGGCCTAGTGGCTAGCATATGGAAAAGACGGAATTTGATTGCCAGAGGTGTACTGCATTTGCACGCTGTGCTGGGTAAGCTGTCTGGGTCCTCACAATCTTGTCTTTAAAATGGGCCTAGCAATACACACCTCCCAAAAATGTGTTTGTTTTTGTGTTTCATGGGTATTTTGAACTTGTTTGCCAACCAGTTGAAGATTCTTTAAGAAAAGGGGCAAAGTAAAAAAGCGAAATGCAACTAAATATCCCTTCCTATTTGCACTACAACATCAAGTATAAGACAACTTAAAATATTTCATATTGAGCGTTGAAACCCAAGACATATACAGTAACAATACAAAGCAGAAGTTTTACAAGCCTTTTACCCAATTTCCAGACACCGCTGACCGTTGAACAGTACCGTACACCAAGAGACATGTGGCAGAAAACATCATACTTCACTTTCTCTACCAAACGCAACCATAGCAACAATTACCTTAGTTTTTAAGCTTCTGAATTTTCCGTAACTGCAAGAAGCGGAGGCCAAAGACCATGTCCTTCACCCAGTAATTGGTAGCACTGAAGGGAAAGTTGGAACTGCAGCTGAGGAAGAGGGGAGCAGAGCAGGACCTCACTCGCAGGGGGCTATTACTGTACTGGTGAGAGACTCTAGCTGATCTTTTCCAAATGTTATTGTTCACATGGACTCCAGATTGGCAGGCCTAATATGCTTTTAATATTAATTGATATAAAAAGAAATATGACATTCTTGATCTACAAAGCCTCTCTTCTCACAGATTTGTCAAGATTTGCATATGGCCAGAACCAAGGTCCAAGAAAGGCAAATCTTGCCAGATCTGTCAAAATCATCAAAGTTTCACATCTTTTGCCCGGATCTTACCTTTACAATCCTTTTTACAAGTCTCTTCCAAAATATGGTTGCAATGTGTTTGTACTTTTAAGCTACAAGGTAATTAAGTGCACAGTGAGGACCTACATTTTTGTGTGAACAGAAACCCAAAGTGGCGATTTTCAAATATCGAAGGGAGAACACAAAGTCTTCTCTGACACCTAAAATGCAATCATAAAGTCACAAAAAGACACTGAAAACTTAATCCCTGAGAAATTCTTACTTTTCCTGATAGAAATAAAAAAGTATCAGCTTCTGCTTGGAGTGACGGTAGTTTTTCTCAGCTGCATATTCTCAGACATAAAAGGTAAGATCCAAAGATCTTTCACTAGTTCACTTAATGCCAGTATCACTGCTTTTTATTACTTCTTTTCACCAACTTTTGCACTGGAAGCTCAGTTTTATACAGCTTTGGGCCTCAGAAAGGCTTCAACACTGCATGCATCCTCTGCAGCCCCCATCCAACTGTCGCCCCATAGCATAGGGCCAGCACCTGAGCTGCTGACAAACCATCGGCAGCTCAACAGAGAGGCTGCTGCTGTATTCTGCTCACTATTGTGTTAAAACTCCATCACAGTTATTGTGTTAGAGCAGGGCATGCTGATGTCTAGTCTGTCTTGGCTGAAAACATCATCTTCAAGAAGTCAGAAAGCATAAGTTATTTGTTACTAGTAATATATTTCATACTTTCAAAGATTTGTAGTAATCCGTGAGTGTGAAGGCTGTCAAATCCACGCAGATGCTTCTTATTGAAAAATTAGGCCTGCATATCCATAGATCCTCCCCTCCTTCACCCATCCAAATTAAAGCCGTAATTCCCAAAGACAGCCACTCTTCTAAAACTACACATTTCATATAGCTGTTATTAATAAAGTATGAACAATGTTTGCAGAAACATTAAAGAATCAGGTCAAGAATGCTGTCTGAACACAAGTGTTATTAAATAAGCCAATCGTCCAACTTCTGAGTAATTAATGTCCTTGGTTTTTACTTGAAAGCCTCATTTTCAGCACGTTCCTAGGAGACAAATGTCCCATGTCAAAGCGAATGAACACAAATTAACTCTTCTGAATGCCAATTACAAGAGAAAGATGAAAATGCAATATTGGCAGGCTAGATAGAAAATGTTGCAGCACAGCACTTCTCATCATAGGGTAAGTTTAGGTACAATCAGATGATTTCACTACATATGGTCAAAGGATTTGATCTGTTCCCATCTGTGCATTATCTGAATATCTAAACAATTGCCATAAAGCATTTGAAAACTTTAAAATATAAAAGGAAAACTAACAAAGCTGATGGTATCTCCAGATCACCACGTGAAGTACTAATAAGCAACTGTTATACAACCCGTGTTCAACAGACTGAAAATGATCCTTCCCAAATCCAAATGACATACTTCTAAAGCTGAAAGTGATAGATTACAGCTGGCTGAGCAAGCACTGTACTGTATGCTCATTTTAAAAGCTGCCATTGTAAAAGACCCTCCAGGCTTTTTGTTGGTTCCTTTGCTCTTCTTATTAAGAACTGCAAAGCTCCTCTTACTTAACAGTAATTACATGGGGAGGTGGAGAAAAACTAACAAGGAAGAGAGGTTTATTTTTCTAAAGATATGCAGTAAGATTACTTTTAATCAAAACCGCACGTCTATGGAACAAATACGGTATTTTTATTTCATCACCTCAAAACATGATAAATATTTGCAATTGGAAACAATTATGAGTACAAAATCTCAAAATCTAATATTAGGATTCTTATTAGAAAATATGTCTTTACAACAAATTTATAGTCTCTGTATACAACATCCTTGTCACCAGACAACCATTAAGACACAAAAATACCCTCAGGACAGCAGCTGGAGAACTTGTCGTATACGCTCACACTTCTCCAGCAGGTTTGGGTCTTTGGCATCGGAACCATCAAATTCCTTCATAAAAGCTTCAGCTTTCTGCACAGTTATGTCTCGCGCACCACCTTGAAGCCCTTCCAGATAATCCAGTAGAATGGTGAAATACTTGTCTGGAACCTTTAAAGAAAAAAACAAGGAAGAAAAAACCCCTGCTTTATTTTCTTCTCTCTCAATACTCATTCACAATCATGTCAAACCATCACCTGAAAGATAATTAGGAGAACTGCATGGGCTTTTGTGTTTGCCAGTGCCCACCTTGGAATGGAAGTGTTTCTTGCCAAGGTTCAAGCTGCCGGGAGGGATGGACCGTGGTGAGAGGACTGTCATGTGCTCAGATGGGCAAAGCATCCGAGAGGAAATTATAAGCAGATGTGGAAATGCTGATCAGCAAATGCAAACACTCCCTGACAGTGAACTCAAGGCTGTGAGCGTTGTTGGAAGAAAAAAAAAAAAAACAAAAACAAACCAAAAAACACTAGCCAAATCCTACTTTTGGAAACATGCATGCAAACCTTACCAAATTCAGTGAGAACTGCATGCACATGTCTGAGGAAAGAATTTTGCCGGAATTACCCTCGCCCCTACCCAAAATTATTTGTTCGCTAAGATGAGATACCACCACCATCAAGCACATTGACAGAATGCTTATACAAAGGAATAGAATTTAATTTGAAAAACAAATTGAATTCAGACATATGGAAATAATTTTTAAATCCTGCTGACTAAAACTGATAGGCTCTACTAACACGCCTAACATTAAAAGCAGTTTAGTCATCTACAGTTGCGTTACCCCCATTTCACTCCCTTTCTAATTAACTAGTCATAGGTTAAATTTTAGCTTATCTGGTACAACATACAATTTAAATGATCATTACCTTAAATAATCTTGGCAATATCCTAGCAAAGACTTTTGAATGTTCAGTATTTTCAAAAGTATTAGGTGAACAGATCTACGCTGAAGCATATCTTAACTTTATGTTGTGTACCTGTGGAACAGGTTTCAGCCAATAAGAGAATATTTTTGCTGTGAATCAGGAGATGTTAAAATGACCTAATCGTGCAAGTATTTTTCTCCATGTTTAACTTCACACATGTAACTTTAAAAGGCATACTCGACATGAGTCAAGTTAAACACATACGTAAGTATTTAAAGGATTGGAGACTAATTATTTGAGGGCTGTTCAATCCTGCAAAGTATCAACATTTCAGAGAAGACAGAGCTTCAACAGATACTTAATTTACAACTTATTTCTCCATCGCTGTTTGGCAGCATAACTTTGATCACTAAAACTTCTCTCACTCCAAAAGAAGAGGAAGAAAGAATATTCCAACAGTGCCTTCATCAATCAGGGATATTACAAAGTAATAAATCAAAACCAAACTCTGCATTCAGCCTCGTAACTTATATGCTGTGGAAAACCTTCTAATTCTTCACACAAACACTCTTGTGTTAAAGAAACAATACAGATACAAAAAAAAATATGAATTTTACAGACTAACACTGAAATGGATGAGATATGAAGTGTTGCTATAATATACAAATCAAACACATTTAAACATAATAATAAATGTCTGAATTCTTGAAACCTTTTTACTCACAGTAACCTGGTACTAATAACAGACAAAAACATTCAGACACAATATCAGCATGATAGCGCTCCCTTAATGCAGATGCTCAGTACCGGGTTTTTGAAGCTCAGCAACATTTCTGTGTTTCAAACCTTAGCCAAATTATCTACATAATTTACACCTCTTGTTCTCAGACCTCGTGGTATAGTCATACCTCACTGTGGAATTACAGCTGTTATTATTATATATCATTTAAGCAAAGTGCTTGAAGGGGCAATTAAAAGCCTGCTCTAAACTTAGAAATACTAAGTGTGTAGACAGACATGTGGCTGCCTGAAGCCTAGAAAGCATTTAGCATTTGGCCCTAAGGATAAGTGCTTGAGTGTGCATAAAGTCTGATTTTTTTTCTTTAACACAGCTATTAGGTTTATTTCAGCCAGAGCTTACAATACAGTACCATGTAGGCAAGTAATATCCTATTTTTTCCTCCTAACTTACACATACAATAGAGCCATAGCAACAACTGGACAACAGAACGTAGAAAGTGCCAGCAAAAAGTTAATGAAATCCAAATTTTAATTCTTAAAATAAGTAGTACAAGAGCTGAAATTTCAGAGATTCTTGGCAAGGTTTTACAAGAAGGAACACGATCCTTCCCTAAGATCAGCTTTTGGTCAGGCTTGAAATTGGATATCAAGATCTCCCACCACGGCTCTGGCAAGTGGAAGTGATGCTTATGGGATTTTATTATTATTCTTTTCTTAAACTGTTTTGACCTTTTTCTTGTTTCTTTTTCTCTCTCACACGCTGACCTTGCCTCTCTTCTAACTAGCTAATATGCACTGGAGCTGACTAATATGGAAATATCACAAAGTTAAATAATTACCTTCATCGGGAAAAGGGGGGAAACACTACACATTAGTAGCAGGAAAAGAACAGTTATCACTTTTAAATTATACTATGTAACTCAAGAGTTTCCAGACTTTTTAGACTTGCAGATGCCCACAAATTTACAAAGCAAAAACAGGTATCTGCAAAGTGAACTTCAGCTTACTGCCGCCAAGCTTGCTTTTCTTAGTTACCTTCTGAGGAAGCTTCAAACCCCCCCCAGGGCCTTGCAGTCCAGAAACTGAAGACAGCTTTCTAAAAATGCTGTGCCAGATGACAAAGATCAACAAATGATCTAGTGTTTATTTTATACTGGATCCTGAAGAAGCATATACACCGTAGGTACACAGGCTTGGGTTGGAAGCTGTCAGCCAACCACCAGATGGATTTTAAAGGGACTTGAAAAAACCTCATGTTGCAAAAGACTTTAAAACCTCAGCTTATTTCTTACAGAAAGAGACCTATCAGTACAGGAAACCAATTCACTCCTTTGCATGGCTTTTCAGTAGGCATCCAAGTGACACCATGAGATCAAAGATGTGGCTTAGGAAGGAAAGAAACTCATGTATCCTTTTGTATTGTAGTCAGGCTTCGATATCCAACAGACTTTATTCTGTAATGGACTCGAAGCCGGATTTGGGTATAAAAAAATATGCAAAAGAAGCTGATCTGCCCTCCCTACAGTCCTGATGAAGAAAAAGACTTAATCATGTGCTTAATTGTAAGCACTTGAGCAGTTCTAACTTTACTGAATCTGGAGGCAGATGTTAATCATTATCTAAAGCTCATATTCAATGCATCTCTGATTATTAAACAGTACAAAATATGTGAATTTAAATAAATCATCACACTTTCATCAGGTTTAAAAAAAATAGAAAGGAAGTTTCATTTCAATGTTGAGAAATAAGGAGTTAAGCTGTGTTTTGATACATAAAACAAACACTACTTACGGTTAATTATTTCCCAGTATATTTCAACACAAAATCCAAAGTAAACAGGTAAAAAACTAAAAACATTATTCTGCCTGTGAAACAATTTCTAGGTAGCTTTAAAGAGCATACCTTGATTTTGAAAGGTTGATAAAGGCTTTCAAAGGAGAAACTTAAAAATAGAAGACAGTGCAAACAACCTACAGTCAAATTTGTATTCTGCGACTAATCTTTTTAAAGTATTACACTGTGTGAACATTTTTGCCTTCATGAAACTCTGCTTTTAATTATCTGGTTCTCTAAAAGTATTTTTAATCATAAAGGTAACACCCTACATCAGGTTATTGGCTTAAGAGCTGCTGAGTAATTTGGGTCAGGAAGATTGGTATGCTTAAATGTTTAAGTGCACACAGAAAATCAGCAAAAACTAACTGAATGTCAACTAAATGAATCAGTAAGTAAGGCACTGTGCAAATGGCTAGATGTTTGTTCTATTACACAACAAAATGAATGACCTGAAACCCTCCATTCAATACCATGATGGTCAGATGCTGATTGGAAATTCAATCTCTGTTGTTTTTTAAGTTATGAAATGAATGAATTTCAGTAATGATGCAAGCCTAGCTTCTGGTTATACTTTATGCTTTTTACAATCAACATCAGGTTTCACTTATATTTTAATGAGAAAGCTATTTTAACTTCTTGGCAATATGGCTGTACATCTTATATGGAGCCAGAGATATCTGAAGCAATATGAGAATCGTGGTTTACAGTATTGGGTTCCACATTCTGAAATTCAAATGAAGGATATGACTCAAATTCTCAGTAAGCTCCAAATTTATATAAAACATGAATCTGCTCTATTTATGCTTGACATATATCAAGCATAAAAATCTAGCACACACAGGAGAGTGATCACCAACAAAATAAAAAGATTAATTACAAGCAATTAAAGTGATTTAGCATTTTGGTTAAAAACAAAGTAATTGATTTATAAACTATTAAAAAATTATTAGAAAAGTGTACGGCTAGTACTAGCAACTTGTGGTTAATAAAGAATAGCTATAACTAATGTATAAAACTTTATATCATATTTGTTCTGAGAAAAAGCAGTGTTAATACAAACCTTCTCTTTATCATACATGTGCAAGAGAAGCCAGGTTTGTCTTGTCTTTTGAAACTTCCATTCTTCTGGGTTTTCAGACCAGCTGTAGTAAATTTAAAAAAAAAAAAAAATTGCTTAAATGAAATACTGTGTAATCAAAACATTCAGTATTCTT